AGAGTGAAAAATTTAAGGGGGTCTGAATACTTTCCGTACCCACTGTATGTATGTATGTTCAATAATTCAATAATTTAAAGAAACATATAATTATAATAATTAGATTAAATATATTGCTTGTGCATATATACAGTATATATATATATATATATATACACACAGTTTATTCTGATATACTGCACATTAATTAAATAAATATATCACAAATATAAATAAAATCATGTTGTTTATATATATATATATTATCTAATTTGATATATATATTGTAGATTAGTAATTCTATGTATTATTTATTATAATTGATTATAAAAATCTGCAAAAATGTCAACAATTCTGTGTTTTTCTGTCAATATGGGGTGCTGTGTGTACATTAATGAGGAAAAAAACTTAACTTGAATGATTTTAGCAAATGGCTGCAATATTGTTAAGAGTGAAAATTTTAAGGGGGTCTGAATACTTTCCGTACCCACTGTATATATATAAAATTAATAAATAAAAAATATATTGTTCCAAAATTAAAAAAATAAATGTTAATATTAACTAAAAATAGTAAATAGTTATTAATAGTTAGTAATAGTTTTTTAAATGAAAAACAGTTCATTTTAATACTGTGTGGTAGCACTGTGTTTTGTTAAGCTGCCCGTGGCTCTAATGCTGTGGGTTGTGTTCATTTCTGATACTGTAGGTGCTGTATCATCTCTTTGAGGAGTACAGCAGTGTGGGCTCCATCACTTTCATGGATGTGTTTCTGGGTATCGTGTGTTTTCTGGTGGTGTCATTGGGCGGTATCGTGGTGGGCGCCATCTACGGCATCCTGGCGGCCTTCACGTCCCGCTTCACCTCGCACACGCGCGTCATCGAGCCTCTGTTCGTCTTCGTCTACAGCTACATGGCTTACCTGTCAGCGGAGGTGTTTCATCTGTCCGGCATCATGGCGTAAGTCACCACTTCATTTACTAGCAGTGTCATTTCACTATCATTGAGATACTATTACAGTTTTTTGTTAATGTTTTGAATGAGTTTTTATTTTTAGATTACAAAAATAAAATAAAATAAAAAAATAAAATATATATTTCATTTTTTTTTTTTTTAGTGTCTTAATTTTAGTGCATCTAGTCCATTTAGTACTTTTCAGATAAGATTTGTTTTATTTCAAGTAACGCAAATTATTTTGTTTCATTTTCATTTGAGTTGAAGTTTTAGCAGTTTTTTGTCATTTTTATTAGTTTTTTTTAATATGTTTATATAGGTACATTTTTATTTTATTTTTTGTTGTTTTAGTGCATCAAGTAAACTTAATGAAAATAGAAAATGTTGCTGAAATTAATAAAGTTGAAGTTTTGTTGGTAAACTTCCATCAAGTAATGGAAGTGTTTTTAATGACTTTAGTTTAATTTGAATTTGAGTTCAAGATTTAGTAATTTTTGTTATTTTTATTAGTTTTCTTTTAAATATGACTATAGTGTTTATACATTTTTATTTCCCTTTTAGTTTTAGTTATTTTAGTCAAGTAAACTACATGAAAATGGTAAAAGCTGCCTTGGCAACTAGTTGAAATAAAACTAAAAAGTTTTTTTATTTCAATTAACACAATTTGTTTTATGGTTTTAGTTAACTATAATAACCCTGTATGCTAAAGGGAGTTATTACATTTTGCTAAAACATTTTTATTTGGAATCACATTCACCAATAAATTGTGCAACATGCTAAATTAAGTAATTAGTTAATTATATTTAACTTGATTACATTTTCAAAGATTAATTAAATTGTTAAAGTTTAATGAATTCATTTCATTAGACAATTTTGATGATAAATTTGTATTAAATAATAAAACACAGAATGAAAATGGAAAAAAGATTTTAGAATTTTTTTTATATCTTCAGAAAAAGTTTTTTCCATTAGATTTTTTCTGGATTCTGAAATTTTGTTGAAACATTTTTTTATTTGGAATAACAGTGAGTCGTGCACAAAAAGACCAGGAGCATGCATTAATGTTGATTTTCTTTTACATTAAATTAAGTTGTAAGTTTATGGGGATTTTGAAAATGTTTGCTGAGGACTCTCCAAAATTGCACAAGAGCTTTTTCTGTTTCTGACTTAATGATAAAATCAATCAACCTGGCCAGATGAAGCAGATCAGGGCTGGTTTTTCTCAGATTTGAAAGCATCCAGTGATTTAACAGCTTGTCGCCGACACTTGATCTATCGTCTGAAGGCGCTTGGAGTCGCTGCTCATGAGTAACAGGCTGCCAGAGCTCGGTCAATACTTCGGTACAGAAGACGGCTCTGGGTTATGATCTGGTGACGCTCGAGTGGATGATAAAAAGAGTCTGAAGCTCTGACAGGCCTGGAGATGAAGCAGTGATTCACAATGTGTCTCAAGGTCCGCCAAACTGATCCACCCATCACAACGAACGATTACAGCTGGGCAGATTTGACTAGGGCTGGGCGGTGTATTATTGTTCAAAGATTCGCTTGTTTGTTTTTGAAAGAGATTAAAGTCAGTAAGGACGCATTCAATTGATTAAAAGTGACAGTAAAGATATTTATAATGTTACAAAAGATTTCTGTTTCAAATAAATGCTGTTCTTTTGAACTTTCTGTTCATCAAAGAATCCTGAAAAATAAAATGTATCACAGTTTCCACAAAAATATGAAGCAGCACGACTGTTTTCAACAATGATAATAAAAAGCCCCTTATTTGACAAAAAAATTAAGTAATTGTTATATTTTTCATTTGTTAAAAAAAAAGGTAAAAATAAGGTTTTATGCATTCATTTAATTAGAAACCATTGTAGTATTTATTTTTTAAGTGGTGCAGCACCTTGTCTGACAAATAAACAGTTTTGTTGTAAAATTGTAATATTTTCAGTTGGACTGATTAAATTGTTAAAGTTTTATTTAGTCATTTCATTAGAAACTCTTATTTGATGATACATTTGTAGTAAATCATAAAGCAAATAATCCAGAAAAAATACAATGGAAAACACAGAACTTGAAAAAATAAAATAAAACATTCTGAATATTGTTTTCAACATCAGAAATGTTTCTTGAGCAGCAAATCAGCATATTATACTGATTTCTGAAGATCATGCGACACTGAAGACTGGAGGAATGATGCTGAAAATACAGCTGCGCATCACAGAAATATATTACATTTTAACAGATATTCACATAGAAAACAGTTATTTTAAATTGTAATAATATTTCACAATATTACTGATTTTAATGTATTTTTGATCAAATAAATGCAGCCTTTGGTGAGCAGAAGATAATTTTTTTTTTATTAGTGCATGCATTTGCTTTTATTTGACTAAAAAGTGTTTTTTACCCTTTTATTAAAAACAAACAAAAAAAGAGTACATGGACACATCACAGTCTCGAATGCTTACTGCTCTATAAAACCGCACATTTCTTTTACTTGAGCTGTGAAATAGCCTATTATGCAAGGCATTGCTACTGAAGGCACGGCTCACTGTGGTCACAGGAAGTGTTGCCACAGATGCCCTTTTAAAAGAGGAACAAATGAGAACAGGAGGAGCCCAGGAGTTAAAATGATCAACCCTGATAATGTTCCCAAAGGTGGAACTGAGTCAGTTGGGTTCACACGACCCGCCTCTCTTCACTTTCTGTCACAGTGAGTCACACGTTTACTCCGGAGGAGACAGTTAGCCGCTGAATCACACTCCCATAATCCTGCACTGCCTCCTCTTTCAGACAGAAGCCAGTCACAAGTTCAGCTCATTTCTCAAGACCCTGTAGGTGGAATTAGTTCCTCACACGTCGAGCTAAATGAGGCTGATCGAAATGTTCACTTTCAAGGGCGTATGCTAATATTTTTTGATGATTTATTGAAAGTAATGCGAATTGTCGGCGTGGTGCGTCAGCCCTTGGACCCAACTGACTGTAGAGCGAATTATGACAGAAATATATTACTAATGTATAGTAAAACGTACTTGTCAAAGTAGTTAATAATAATAAGAATAATACCATTTATTGAAACATGGTATTGTTTTGTTATTTTATTACTATTTTAAGGAATATCATAAAAACCAAATATATTTTTTCATCTATATTTTAATACAAGTTTTGTAGCACCTTATTTGACAATAATAATAAATAAATATGCAATGTTATATTGTATTGTTAAATTTTTATTTGATTACTTTTTAAAAGATTAGTTAAATTTTTTAAATGTTATGAATTAATTTAATTAGACACCATTGTGTTGTTAATATTATTACTTCGAGAAGTAATTATTATTATTATTATTATTATTTTTAAAGAAATGTCATACAACCAAAGTATTTTTTATCAATGTTTTAATTTATATAGAATACAAGTTCAATTGTGTAGCACCTTATTTGACTAAAAAAATGCAACGTGTAGCTGTAAATTAATTGTTATATTTTCCTTTGCAATTCCAAGATTTATTAAATTGTTAGTTTTAAGAATTAATTTTATTAGGGCCCATTGTATTATTATTATTATTATAAGAAGTACTTATTGTCGTCGTTGTTATTTTTCTAAGGAATATCATGCAATCAAAATATTTTTACATCCATGTTTTTATTTGACAAAAATATTTTAAATGCCATGTTTTGTTTTTTACATTTGTTATATTTTCATTTGATTTTAAAAGAGTGATTACAAAGGTTTTATGAAGTCATTTAATATTTAATGATAAATGTGTAGTAAATAAAAAAACACATAATCTACAAAAAATAAAATGGAAAAAACTGAATTTGTGGGGGAAAAAAATTTAAACGTGGAGTTTACTTTCAAACAAAGTTATGATTACATTGATTCTCTAGGTCTAACAAACACGTGCAATGCATTTCATTCCCCATTGAAGATATGAAATGAATATTGTGATAAATCTTGATATCAGATGATATGGAGAAATGATTGTCAGGTCTGTAATGTAGATGAATCTTCTGTCTCCAGACTAATCGCATGTGGTGCCGTCATGCGTCCCTACGTGGAGGCCAACATTTCCCATAAATCCCACACCACCATCAAGTACTTCCTGAAGATGTGGAGCAGCGTGAGCGACACCCTCATCTTCATCTTCCTGGGAGTGTCGACGGTGGCCGGGCCGCACCAATGGAACTGGACCTTCGTGGTCGCGACCGTCATTTTCTGCTTGGTGGCGCGTGTTCTGGGTGAGTGAAGTTTAGCCGGAAGTATTCACTAGATTTCACAAGAAGTATAACTCTGTAAGTCTCACTCCTGTATCTGAGGTGTGAGTGCGATTGTGTGTATTTGCGTCATAAAAACAGGGAAGGTCCATCATCTATATATATATATAGAGAGAGAGAGAGAGAGAGAGCTGTATATATATATATATATGTATATATACAACTACATATATACAGCTATGGGGGGAAAAACTTTAAGAGACAACTTGAAAGTTCTCCGTTTTGCTGTTTTATATATAAAAATAAATGAATAAACTTTTTATTTTTTTGTAGATGTGTATGTATGTATGTATATGGCATAATTTTTGTTTATATACAGTATATTTTTAAATGTAAAATAAAAATATTTGATCAAATAAAATCTTTAAAAAATAAAATTATATATATATATACACTTTGTATTGTATAATACTAAAATTACTAAAATAAAGAATTTTGTGAAATATTTGCTAAAATATAAAATATATATATAATAAAATATATAAAAATATATATATATATATATAATTTAATGTAAAATAAAACATTTTTGATAAAATAGAATCTTTAAAAAATTAAATCACATGATATAATATATACTTTTGTGTTGTATATGGGTTCAGAGAAGGTTAAAAACGAAATTATATAAAAAATTAAACTAATACTAAGATTACTAAAATTAAAATGTGAAATATTTGCTAAAATATAATAAAAAAATATAATAAAATTATAAAAATATATTATATAAAAATAAATTAAATAAATGTTATATAAAAATTTAATACAATTTTAAAATAAATATACTGTATACACTTTTAATTGTCCATATATATAGATATATGAAGGTCCATCATCTTTAAGTAGTTCTGAACTAATTGTGATAAACTGTGCTTTGATTTTAATTAATTTTGCTTCTTTTTTTTTAGAGACTTCTGTTCGCCTAATTAAAGAAGTGGTTCTATTCTTCTATTCTATCAATGCCCTGAGGTTGTGAACGGTGGCACATTTTTCAACGCTTGTGTTTAATTAAATGTTTTATTTTATCCACAGGTGTTGTTGGCTTGACCTTCGTGATCAACAAGTTCCGTATCGTGAAGCTGACCTCTAAAGACCAGTTTATCATAGCTTACGGTGGACTGAGAGGAGCCATCGCCTTCTCCCTGGTCTACCTGCTGAATCCCAAACACTTCCCCATGAGAAACATGTTCCTCACCGCCATCATCACTGTCATCTTCTTCACGGTGTTTGTGCAGGTCAGTGTCCGGCAGTACGACCGCTCTCACATTCAGCACATGGAGGATATCAGTTGAGATACATTCCTAGTCCTATAGGGCCTTTTCTGTATGTTCTGCATTGATTATAGTTGTGTGTTGCCAGTTTCTTTGAGATCTGATACACATTGTTTTTATATGTTTTTATAAAAATATTTTGATGTCTAAAAATTTTAAAATATTTTATATATGTATATAATATTGAAATAAATACATTTTTATTTGTAGTTTCAATAAATAATTATATATATATATATATATATATATATATATATA